TGTCTGAGCATAGGTCATCAATTAACCCTTAAACTCACAAGATCTGTATGTTAATTCTCCCTTCTGGCTGCTACTCATTTCCTTGTTAATCACTGCTGAGGGTTAAAGGATTGCCATGGGTATTCAATTAAACGCCACAGCATCTATTAAATTTTTCGTGATTCAAATGTGGCATTTATTCCAGGGTGGCATTTATTTAAAATCCTATTTATTTCTTGCAAACAATAGTACGGTGACTGACAATTTTAATTTTAAAAAACAGAAAGATGTTTTAGTACTTGTCTACAAAGTCATATTTTTATATTGTTCTCAAATTTCACTATTTGCATGTCAATACTACTGCAACACAAATCTAATGTCAGATATGCTTTCTCAACATCAGAACTGGTACATTCAAAAGGATTTGTATCTGGTTCACTCAAAATTTCCAACTGCAATTGAAGCATTGATCTTTGTGTGCTTTTTGAGTCTATTGCTAGAATGAATGCCTCATCAGGATGGGGCGTTTATTCAAGGGCGGCATTTATTAACTCACTCAATGTGTTGGTAAAACATTATGTCCAAGGTGAGTTGAGAAAATCATGCAATTTTGGAAAGATTTCACCCAATCAAGCACTTGTTTCAGCTTGTAGAAAACCAGACTTTTAAGAATTCATCAGACTTCAAAGTTATGTAACTTTGTTTCCTTATTTCTTCCCTTTTTCAGGAAGTCGAGACTATACACGAACCCTGTGAGAGGTATACAAGAAAATCAGGTCATGAATGAAATCATTTACATGTACCATGCTGCTTCTGATGTTAGACGAGGAGACAATCTGTATTCACCACCATCATCAACCGGCCATTCTTCATTTTTATCCTTAAAAAAAACAAAGCCAAGTAATCAAAACATCTGCAAAAATGATAAGCATGATGCTGGGTATTACAAAAGTTTACTTTGGAATTAAGAGTGGGATAAAGTGGAGTTGATCCCACTTTTTGCTGCATGGAAAAAGTGTCTTTAAAGACATTCTTGTGGTCAGGTGTTCCAAATATTTGTGTACCAGCCCCTTACTGCGATCCTTTTTTTAAAAGAATTTATATGACAGTATTAATACTAAAATGCACACATACCTTATCACTGCTAAGACCCCTGGAAACATAAAATTACAGAAACTGTGTAAGTTAGTTATGTTAACAGTGGAAAAGATTCCTTATCTACTTTTTTCTATTTATGATGAAACAAAATAGTTGCAATGCTGACATCTTCAAACTATTAGCACAAACAAACCAATCAGGTTATTAAAAAAACTCACACTTTCTTTGAATAAAAAGCAATTAACTGCTGTTCATATTCTTGATGTTTTCTGCAAAAGAACCACAGTAACAACAGTATCAATATTCAACACAGTAGATTGGTGCAGTGACTAAAATGCCACAAAATT